ATATTGAATGACACCCCAAAATGACAATTTTCGTCTATATATTTCATGAGATTTGTATGAGTTTTCAAATGATTTTTAATAATTTCTGGAGATTTCCATGACTTTTTTTTTATATTTTGCAATTTCAGGAGATTTCCATGAGCTCCTTGTAAATCAGGCGGCCGCGGGAAATCTGCTATAAGTTATAAAATAGTTTGATTTAATAATTTACACCTAGAATTAGCGCTGGTCCTTGGAAAGTGCGGGGCCCACTGCGGTCGCATAGGTTACATTGGCCTAAGGCCGGCCCTGCAAAATAACGGAGTATGCTACGCCGTGGGTCGACTAGTATATAATAATATATACCTAACTAGGCCTAGGACCCTACTTTTAACTTTAATTCAGATCTAATTGGTTAAGCGGTGTAAGCCTATTTAATCTAATCAGAGGTTTAATTCATTGATTAACATGCATGACTAGATTGACACATGAAATGCGTAGGACGTAATTATCTTCTAATAATATATGAAGAAGTCGTTGTCACGTTCCTTCAGCATTGAGGATTAACACGTCTAGCCCAAAGCTCTTGCAGGACGGCTTGAAACAGGGATCGAACCAGTGACCATCAAGACAACAGTGGGGAGCGCGTACCACACGACCAAGAAGCCATTCTTCTCTTAATCTAGCGTCTCCTGTTTATAATCTAGAATAGTTTCAATAGATTTAGATCTAGATATCTAGATTTTAGATAAAGGCGGACACAGATCTAGATCGAGGTGCTTATTTCAACTCTGTTCAATAGATAAGCAAGCCTAATCTAAAAATAAAACACAAACCAAAGAATAACATGATCTAGTCTGTATTTCAGAAGGATGCTGGCACATGTCTTCTAAAGGTATCATTTAAAATCGAACAGGATCTGTAGAAATTGGCTAGGATGACGGTGAGTCTAGGTTTTGTGATGTGTTTAGCACTTGTGATCTGCTCATTTAACATAGTGTGCAAATGTTAGGTGTGCACTTTCAGACAATTAAAACTGATGGCTAATCTTAGTAAAAATCAGTATTGTTAAACGTCTTCAGCACTTCTTGCAACTTTAGAATGTCTGCCTGGTAGTGCGGTTTGCGCGTTGGACTGTCGTTTGGACTTATCGATGGTCCCGAGTTCAAACCCTGCCGGCTCCCATCCTTCGTCGTCTTGCGAGAGGCTTGGACTAGGAAAAAAAGTTTCTTTAACTCTGAAGGAACATCTGAAGCATGCAAAGCATTTTAATTTTTTAGGGGCTTATTCCGGAGGAACATTTCCGCCTCTACGAAATACAAAATAGAGCAGTGAGATGTATAATAAACGAATATTCCAATTTGATTACAGTAACACCATTTGTAAAATCACTAAACTTAGAGACACTTCAGGACAGAAGAATTAAAAGTAAGATAGCTATAATACATAAAAACACTAAACCATAACTTACAAATAGAAAAATAAAACCTAATGAAATACTCAGAAACACACATAGAGGTAGGGCCTACACATTCCATAAACCATAATAATAAGGCTTGTCTTCGAGTCCGAATATTAGTGAGGAGTGCAGTATTTCCCGTGGCTGCGCAGCCCCAGCTGTGACCTATATATTTTGCCACACCGAGGGCAAGCATAACCATTGTCAGCAGGTGGTCGATTTATATTTTCTTTTCGCCGTCTGCGTTTGTCCTCGGCAGCGGATTTTCTTATGGTCTCAAATGTGTATCCCGCGGCCTTCGTGAGTGACCTCCAGGTGTCTCGTTCTGAGGCCGCATGCAACCAGGTGCTCTCTTCTATGCAGGGCCGGATTAAGAACTCTTGGTGCCCTAGGCACAAAGTTCCACAAACCCACACGGGTGCCCCCTCTGCCCGAGCCCGGCCCGATCCTCCTCCTCCACTGACCGCTGGTAGGCCTATGTTCAATATTATCATTATTATGCAAAATACTAACAAAGAAAAACAGTTGTTAATACAAATGTTTGTGTAATAATTAATTATATAATTTGTATTACATTACTATCACTCATATTAAACCACAATAAGGTATTTCAGTATTAAAGTTATTAGTTAATTAATTTTGTAATAATAATAGACAAAAATACTGAAACTTTTTTAATAGATAAGAAGATGATTAAGATCATAAGAAAGTCGAAGAAAGGACACATTTACATTTTGAAGTTCTTTTTTCTAGATTTACGTCTGGCAAAGTTTTTGAGTACATCATCAAAGTTAATTTTGCGCAACAAGTCTGCCTCAATCATCAGCAGAGATAAGGAATCAAGCCTTTCTTGTTTCATTGTCGATCTATTTGGATTTTTTATACGTTTCAACTGAGAAAAAGAACGCTCAGTTGAACAGTTCGTAACGATTAATGTTAAAAATATGCGCAAGGCGATTTCTACATTTGGAAAGGCACACTCGATGTTATCTGTAACTATTAGTTTGTATAATTCTGCATGACTGAACGTGTTGTTTTCAGATTTTGATGCACGAAACTTGTGGCGAATATATGAGTGGAACTGTTGTAGTTCAGTATATAAGTTATTGTTCAGATCTTTAGGATAAGCATTTATTAGTGCTTCACAACACTGACAATTTGTGTTTGTGATACATCGACCAAACAAGAAAATCGAACTGCTATATCATTATATACCTGTCCTCGTCTACTCATCTCTGTCTCAAGTTTGTCAACAATGGCGTAGAAAGCAGATATACGAAATTTGTCTCTGGCATTCAGAGATACCTCAGGGGCATCACCATCATTGACCACTGTCTTTCGTTTACGATTACGGGTCAAAGTTGACTTATAATCTTTAGAACCTTTAGATGCAAAAAGTTTACTAACAAAACAATAAACAGATCCTGTGGATGATGAATACAATAACCATTTTCTCCTGTACTGCTCACCATTTGCTTTTGTGCCATAGAAGAGTTTTTGAGAACAATATCTTGTTATTTTTCCTCTAGCATAAACACGGGAAGATTTATCAAAGGGACCATAATGATGCTGACAGTTAGTAGGCCCACAGTCAACCCAGTAAGCCACATCATCAGCGGAGAAGTCAATCCACAGTCCACAATCTACTGATTGGTTTATTTTATCTTCTTCATCTTTTTCATCATCTTCAGCAGACTGAAGTGTAGCACAACTAATTTCATTTTCAAGCACTAATGCTGTGTCAGGATTTGCAGAACGTCCTGAAGTAGACTTATCAAGAGGGTTGATGGTGTCATTAAAATCCTGATTAACCTGTTGCTGAACTGAAACTAAATAATTCGTTGTTTTTTTACTCTTAGCTTTCACAACAGAAACAGTATGTTCTTTTTGTTTAGCTAGTTTTCTCTTTTGTGCACCACTTAACTGAACACGTTTCATCTTGAGTTTAATTATATTAAGAATATATCAAAATATAAATTTTAATTTAATTTATTTTCGACAAATTACGACAATACGTTCGTCTCCCATACGGGATACGTGCCCTACCCAGCGTAACTGCAGGACCATAAACCATACGCTAGAACAAAGTGCTCCTTCGTCCCTAGTGCCATTAGAGGATGGAATTGGGTTGCCTGAATCAGCCAGGAAACATAAAAATTGGCAGAGTTTATGTCATTGATTAACATGCATGACTTGATTGGCACATGAAATGGGTAGGACGTAGTTATCTTCTCTTTTGAAGTAACGTTTGTAATATATGGGGGGGAGGGGAGGGGGAAGTGGGGTAATATGAGATACTGAAATCGTAAAATTTTTTTAAAAAATTATATATTCCAACTAGCTACCAATATAAAAAATGATCAACTACACATTAAAGAATATTTCTACCAAACATCAGGCCTTTTAATTAGAAACTTATGAAGATATTTTAATTTTATTTTTTTTAGTTGGTATTCCATATTACCCACCCTGTGGGGGTAATATAGGATAATTGAGCTCTGCCATTAAAACTATAAGAAAAAAAATGATTTTTTAAAAGACAAGATAAAATAAAACATTTTTAAAGAATGGAAATAATTTTAATAAAAAAATATATATTTAATCACTCTCCACACACAAATCACACTCAAATATACTGGACTCTGCCCCAGCACATTCAGTGTGGGCCCATTTACTACAAGCTACACACTGAATCCATTGTTCTCCATCTGTATCTTCTGAGAACAGGCCATTGCAATATATACAAGGAGTGTCATCATCATGGCTGCCTGGTCGTGCGGTTTGCGCGCTGGACTGTCGTTCAGATTTATCGATTTATCAAACCCTGCCCGCTCCCATCCCCCGTCGTCCTGCGGGAGGTTTGGACTAGGTAGTAATTATCTTCAACTCCGAAGGAACATCCGAAACATGTAAAACATTTTACAAACAAACATTCACCTAGGTTGGATGATTTGCCTTTTGATTTATTTCCTTTGTGTTTATTTGGGACACATTTAGAAGTCTACTTTCACAAGCCTACGTGTGGTATTTATCGTCTCGTGGCTTCCATTGATTAATACAATTGCCCATATTATTCAAAGCAATGTCATTGTATTTTATTGTACTACTAGATCTAGGCTTCGGGAGAATTTTCTTTCTGCGCATGCGTGAAGCCTTCGCTCTGCGCATGCGTGACCTTTCGGTCTTGTCTCATGTAAGCATGTCTATATGACACTGAATCCATGAAATGGTAATAATTTCATGGATCCGGGTAGATATTTTTTTTTTTGTGGGTTTTAAGTTTGTTTTAGGGCTACTTTACATATCTTACTTTTCCCGTTAGTATCCATGTAACATATATGCCAAGTTTTATCAAGATTAGTCAAACGGTTTTGATTTCTATTCAGGACATACATATGCCTTACATTCTTCTTTACATTATCTTTCAATTCTTATCTTATATTTCTCTTCGTAATGCTTATCTCCCCTTAGCTAAGAAATCTTATTTTCTACACAAGACTTATTTCCCTTAACTTACTGCGTTTTTTCTTTATTCTAAATTATAACAAAACTAATTTCTACTAGTTTATTGAATTTTTTTATTGATGCATGTGTTGTCATCAATTATGAGCGTGTCAGTAAAAATTTGATGAAAATTAAATGAGCAGAAGAGGTCGAAAAATCGATTCCAAAAGTTTATACAAAACCTGTTTAAAAAAAAAAAAAAAAAACAAGCAAAGAAATTTTCTGACATACAAACAACAAACACAGTGAGTGACAATATTCACAAAGTTTAATGAACCAATGGTCACGTGACATAGATGAGTCAATGAAAACATTCAGACGTAGTGAGCAGACAACTAAATGACCCCAGTATGGGGGTTCAGTTCAGTCGTACTAATAGTTCATGAGCTGTTGGGTAGAACTTGGGTTTTAATTTTGTCCCACTTTGTGGTGTCTACAGATGCTAAACCACACTGACCTATACAACAATTATGAATGTATATATATAGTGCTGTACACCTAGGTATTACAAAAATAGATGCTGACCAAAAAAAAAACAAAAACTACAGCATTAATAGTTGACAATAACATGAGTCAAATTGTGGTTTTAATTGGTTGTACATACAACTTCAGATGGCAAAGTATGACCAAGAATTCAGTGACCTTGACAGCACCAAGTGATCAGCAAGCCACAGAGTCTAGACATCGTGTGATCAACAAGTCATATGACCTCAGACACCATGTAATCAGCATCATGCGACTCAAAGAATGAGAAGCCTCACAATGAAAGCATAATAAAAAAAAAAATACGATAAAAATAAAAGCAGTTCAAAATAATTATTCAAAAGCATGCATTCTCCTGTTATTAGAGATGTTAGCTCTTTTTTTTGTATGTGTATCCAATGTACAGAATAAAGAAAATGAAGACAATCTATGTGGTTTTTAAAGGCATATAAAAATGTATGTGCACTATTCAGCACTGCCGGTTCAAATTGTCTAAGCTCTTCTGATTGTAGATATTTTTTAGTTGGCAAGATTGAAAATCAATTTAGCATCCTTGACATTCAGTGCATTGCTACAGAGAAAACACAAACTTTATACAAATCATAAGGATCTCAATGACATCAAGTGATAGAGATGCAGAGCCATATTTAAGGGCTTCCACAAGAGACTTAAAAATTCACATATGGTCTTACTCTGCACAAACTCCAAAACTTACAAAAATTTTTTTCAAAATTCACAAAAATTGCATATTAAATAATTATAACTTTTTTTTTTTAAAGTAGTAAAATTAGATCAAAGTTACAAGCAGTCTTATTTCCTACTCTTAGTATATGGCTTGTTATTAAATATCAGTATGTTTATTGATAAGTGTTAAAAAGTGGATTTTTATTAAATCTTTCAATAAAGTGTAGGGGCCCCCACAAAAAATCTGCACCAGGACCTAAAAATACTTAAATCCGACCCTGATGAGATGCCAAACTAGCTGTGCCACTGTTGGCTTCATTTTGAAATAATCCATCCCATTATTTTATAAGGACTACATCAAGAAGAAATCTATTATCCTATTCCTCATTATAAGCAAATGCTCAAAGGAATAAAAGAAATGAAAAACTTGGAACGGCAACAAAACAAAATAAAACAAAAAGTAAAGCTCACAATAACTAGTGCCACAGACTACTCCTGGTATCCGTAGCAACAGATGTACACACTTTAACTAATGCTTGGATGAGACTCCAAGAAGCAAGTCAAACCAGAAATTAAAATATTTGAACAAACCTTTGAATACATAACATTGATCTTTCAGTTTATATAAAAATTCAAATATTCTTTGAAACGATCTGGTAAAAAAGCATTTTGAAAACATTGTTAAAATAGGTTTATTTTGAATGTACATTCTCATAGATATTTTAGCAACTTGTTGACACACAATGATCAACGGGTGCTGTGGTAGAGCAGGAAGAATCAAGACACAGCAAGAGACTTAGAAGATGGACATAGAACACTGAGACAATATTCCCTTTTGATTTGTATATAAAAAAAAAAAAACAATGATCATTTACATTCCCCCATAAAACATGAAACAGTAGCACATCAATTTATTGTATTGCCTTTCATTCTTATCAAGTTACAGTCTAAAATTTAAGCAAAATATATACAGAAGTAAGTGACAAAAGACAAATTGTCAATTATTAATTTTCCTTTCCATCACTGGTTACCATCCAAATTTCAAATGCATTTTAATTTTTTTTTTATGTGTGTCATAGATACAGTGACGATACGTTTGAAGATTTTATTATAGCACTTGAAATTTAAATTTTACAAATAGTCCTAATTATTTAGACAATCGCAAGGATGTATTTGTTTTGTTTTAGACATCCTTCAGAAATAAGGATATTTCTATCCTATCCCAAACCTCATGCAGGCAAGACAGGAGGGATGACAGGGGCCAGTTTTCGAACTAAGGACCTTCATGAAGACAGACTGAATCATAAACCACACAACCAGCAGCCATTAATAGTGTATACATGAAGGCTAAAAAATTTTAAAACATTTCTGCAATCTAGGAAGGGGGGAAAAAATATAACAATACAAAAAATTTGATGACATTACGATGTCTGTCATTATTTTGAGAATGAGGAAAAAATACTGCTCTGAGAGCCATAAAATAGATGCATTTTTATGCACAAACTGTGGCAGATTTAGCACTCCATAATTGGCTCGTCTAGTCACAGCAGATTCTATCCTGATTCAAGAAGAAACTAGCATCGATAATTCATCTTGGTGCATCTATTATCTTTTGAATAATTTATTAAAAATGATAAATTTAGATGTGCTACTCATATAAACAAATGGTTGTGGACACAAAGTAAAGGTCACTGTTATAGCATGGTCGAGAGGCCAAGTGCGCTTTCGACTACCGACTTGGGCAGAGTTGTGTTTACTGAAAACCAACTCCTAGTTATCCCCTCCCACCCACTGGTTCACAAATGAGATTGGAGCAAAAGCGCTCTGAGCATGCTTTAAGCATGAAAGTAGCATTATATAAAAGCTATAGTAATACCTGATATGGCAGTTCATATTTCATTTCACGAATGTTGTATAGCAGAAATTGATCTTCTACTGTGTTTCAATGACATAAGATTGTCAAAAACATACTCATTAATATATATTTGAATATATTGGGTTATTTCTTGATTGAAATCTCACATAATTGTTCAAAAAGAACAAATTAATATACAAACTTGAAATCTCATGCATTTCAATCTCTACTACAGGGGCCTGACTTAGCCTTGTCAAGATTACACAGCGACTTTAGTGCTACATTGCAGAGATTGTATAAAGACATAATAAACAAACTAAAAAGAACAGTCTACAAAATTAAAGTAATAGGCTCAAAAACTTGTTCTAAAAATACATTATTAAACTAAGTGTATCAAAAAACATAGAGATTTATCTAATCCAGATAGTCTAAAAATATCTCAGTTCAACAGTTGAATCTATAAATGTTGAAAACTAAATACTAAGTACAACCTTTTTATAAACAACATATTACAAAAAATACAATTTTCACATCAATTTCAAATATAATTTTGTGTTTTTAAAACTGAGAGAACATCTTGGTGGGGGAAAAAAATGGCTGTTAGTCTGAATATCAGTATAGATGTTCAAGAATATCAGTACAGGTATTCAAGAATAATTGTACTGGTGTTCAAGAATATCTGTACAGGTATTCAAGAATATCAGTTCAGGTGTTCAAGAATATCTGTACATGAGTTCAGGAATAACTGTACAGGTGTTCAAGAATATCTGTACAGGTGTTTAATTAAGCTGGAGGACATGAAATCAAAATGCAAAGAATGAGTTGATGTTGTGCTTCCAGAACTTGTGTGCAGCAAATAATACTACAGACAGATGACCTATAAATGACATATGCACCTATAAATGGCATACGCTGCTGACAAATAACCTATAATTGGCATAAGCTGCTGACAGATGACCTATATGGCATACGCTGCTGAAGATGATCTATAAATGTCATACGCTGCTGACAGATGACCTATAAATGGCATACACTGCTGACCTGACAGATGACCTATAAATGGCATACACTACTGACAGATAATCTAAATGTGACATTGATAAAAGATTACCTAAATGTAAACAAAAAAATGCTAACAGACAATGTAACATAGCATAATGACATTAGATAACTTCTAAATTACATATTGACATCATATAACTTTTGCGTGGCATACTAACATCACATGGCTTCTGTATGGCTTACTGATATCACATGACCTCTGAATGACACACTGACATCATATGACTTTAGTGTGGCATACGGACATCAGATGACTTCTGTATGGCATACTGTCAGCATGTTTTTGGAGACTCCATGAAAAAGGCAAGATGGCTTTACACTAATGAGAATGAGTTTTCAAATAGCAATCCACTAGTCAGATTAACTTACATTAAGATTTGTCTTTTAATTGAAACAATATGTTAGCATCAAGTCTTATAAAAAATACAAACCAGGATAAAAAGGAAACAATTAATACATTTACAATGTATTTACATTTAACTCTTAAACAGAAAAAGAAAGTAATTAGAAAATTAAAAGTGTATATACAAATGCATTTCAATTAAATTCATTTAGAAAATGACCACAGTTGTTTAATGAGGATCGACCAACCTGTCAATATTGCACTGAATAAAGTGGTTTCAAAGATACACAGAAAGCTGAAAGAATATGGACATTGAGAAGCAAGCAAGAAGAATGAAAAAGAATCGCACAGTCAGAGATGGTGAATAATGTCGAATGATTAAGCCTAAATCAAAACACTCTTCGTTGAATACCAAATCTTTAAACTAAAAGATGATCAGATCTATTAATATCGAGAAGACAAATGAAGAGTGGCTCTGAACAAGCTGCCTTGTAATAGAATATTTAATTGTACAACTCATGACACTGACTGAATGGCTTCTAATCTAAACAAGAATAACGAATTGCAAATCCAAATTCTTTTCTAATCATTGGTAAACTTTCCCCATTTCATTTCAATTTCTCTGTGCAAACTGGCCATGTAAAACAAACGCAAGGAAAGAATCTCTTAATTTAGACAGACATTTTCTTTTGAAAAAAAAAATAATAATAATAATTGTACATTGAAAATACTATATAGTTTGTATTTGAATTATACTTAAATATTGTCATCTTCAAATTAGGGTTTAATTCTATAAGTTTATTCCTTAGTTATAATAATCCCTGTAGTCTCCCCTTGACGGATATGGTGATTTCTCTTGCATATGTGCCATATCGTAGACAATATCATCTGGCTGTGGGACGTACAGTGTATTGAGCATATGAACCAGGAATGAAGCAATAGCAGTACAGATCAGCTATGGAGTACAGAGAAAGTTTTCAATTAGAACATGATATCATCTTAAAGGTTGGCACTGCTAAACCTTCAATTTCAAAGATATTTTGAATGTAAGTAAATCATTCGTTTTCACAGCCTGGTTGTTCTAATTTTTTGTTTTGTTTTGTTTTTCAAGACATAACATGTAATGTGTACAAGGCATTAGAAACTATTTTTAGTTTGGGGAATGGTGAAAATAGTCTTGTGATTATTTTATAGGGTAAAAAAAAAGGACAGTATCTCTTTCAGTCCTTGCCCTTGCGCTCTTCTTTTATACTTTAGGACAGATGATGTAAAGGTCATCAATTTCTGTTTTCGAGGGTGGTTGGGACGTCTGGATGGAAAATGTTTTTTTTTTCTAACTAAAATGGGCTTTTTGTTTTTTGCAAAATGTTTGACATGTTTCAGATGTTCCTTCAGAGTTGAAGATAATTTTCTTCCTAGTCCAAACCTCACACAAGACGATGGGGGACAGGAGTCAATAAGTCCAAACGACAATCCATCATGCAAAAAGCACGACCAGGCAGACATCCAACTAGAGTGTAGCTGATGTTTTTGTACCTCCCTATATTGATATTTATGTTATCTGTAGAGTAATGAGGTTTCTTATTTCTTCTGATATGAAACATAATTGTTGTACTTCTGGTCCCTCCCATTGTTCTTCATCTAGCCAGCTTTTTGCTGCTGAGCTGTAAGCTCTTTGGCAGACTGTGCCAAGGAAAAATAGTGTGCAGCTTTCTTTAGTTGTTCAGCACTGCCACACAGAGTGTTGAATATGTTTGCTTGCAGTGGTAGTTGGGTCTGCCTAAGATGGACTAAGAGGATGTGGTTTACTATTTCATAAGGGTGGGCGCAATGTCTATAAAGGGGTAGGTGTGTGGTATT